ATAGTTTATGTTGTAACATATTGAGAAACAAATATCTGGGCCACAAAAGTATTTTTCAAGTCAGAAATAGGAAGGGCTCGCAATTCTGGAAATCTTTGTTAGATGTAAGAAAGTGGTTTCAAATGGGAAGGTGCATTAAGATAAAATCAGGGATGCAAACAAGGTGTTGGCATGATTGTTGGTTAGGAGACTGTGTACTGAAAATAACTTTCCCTAATCTGTTCCACATTGCTGTTCGTCAAGATTTAGAGGTGGTAGAGGCATGTGTGGAAGGACAGTGGTTTTTAGAGTTTAGAAGGCAATTGAATGGAATCCTGTGGGAGGAATGGAGAAATCTGATGATGTTGTTAGATGAAGTTTCTTTGTCAGATGGTAGAGATGAGGTGTTTTGGGCTTTAGAGAGATCTCAGAAATATTCGGCAAATTCACTTTATAATTCGATGACCTTTGGAGGGGTTCAAAATGTGCGGATGATGCTTATCTGGAAATGTAATATTCCTTTGAAGGTTAAAATTTTCTTATGGATGGCCACACATGATAGAATCTAGTGTGGGGTCCAATTGAAGAAGAAGAAATGGTCTGGATCAGAAGAATGTTTCAGCTGTGATAAACTTGAAACGTCGGACCATATTTTGTTCTAATGCCCCATTGCTGTATTCTTATGGTCCTTTTTTCGTGAATGTCTCAGTTAGCCGTTGTCGCCAACAAGTTGTTCATCGCTATTCTTAGAGATCTTGACCAAATTTAGAGGAAAAAAACAGCAGGTAACGTTGTTCCTATGTGCAGGTGCGTTATGGACTATCTGGAAGGCACGCAATGATGTGGTGTTTAACAAGAAGACGATGACTTCCCCGGTGGCAATCATCTACAAGACATTGATGGTGGTGAAATCCTGGCGTCCGCTTTTGAAGCCTAAACTGAAGCCTGTGGCGAACGAAATGATAAATCTAGTTGCTTCTAATGCCACTGTGGCAATGTAACTTTGGCGCGTGTTTGTCTAATTGCTTTCTAATGTTTGTCCTAATGTTGGTGGGTTCAAACTTGATGTTTTGGTTTAGAGGTCTTGTGTTAGATCCTTTGCTATGTAGTTAGTAGAGTTCTATGAATGGTTTAGTGCTTAATCTGTAAGCTGGTATCCCCAGCAGGATCTTGGACTTTCGTTAAGCTTTCAATAAAAGCCGGGTGAAATGCCTTTGATCTAAAAAATAAGCTATAGAAGGCCCATATCAGCAAGCAGAAAGAGGAGATGGACAAAGTGGTGAAGATTATAAAAGAAGATGGTTTGCGAGAGTCTGATGCTATTTATGCTCATGCTTTAATTATTTGCACGAACACACTGCATCGTGGAACTTCCTGAGCATGGAAACAAAAGAGGGCCGCCTCAACTTTCTGCAGATCTGCTAGGAGAATAGGAGATCCAGATCCAAGTAGATGATATCCGGACAAGCGCTCCCACCTGCGGCGGTTAATGTAGTTTGATTTTCCAAAATGTGCATGTTGAGTTGTACTGTATCATTGAGAATATTTGTTTAAGTTCCATCATTCTAATGTGGCCTGAACATTGTGTTATATTTTTTTCTTAGTATCCAAATAAAATGTGTTACTGTGATGTAAATATCTTTGTTCAACAAACATTTCATTTTTTCATGTGTTATGTGGTTTGCTGGCTCCACAGTGTTCAGGACGAGGTAACTGTTGCAGCCATCACCGAGTCCCAAGGTATGTATTTGTGAACATGAGAATGCTAGTGCAGTTCTTTTCAACAACATTTATGTCTCCTTCAATTTGCCAGTTATGAATTAACTTGCACTACAAACTCCGAAGGAAACCAAAAGCTAACATGAAACTTTTATTTAAGGAAGAAATTGAGTAGCTTTCTTAGGAACCTAGGCTTGCATTTGCGAAGGTGTTTGTTGCACCTGCATGGGTTTATGATACTGGTGCATTTTCTTTGTCTGCAGAGGTGTTGCAAGAGTAGAATTAAGTGAAGGGAACCAAACAGTAAATGGGTGGATCTACATGTTTCAGCTACCTGCTGTACTGATGTTGTTGCACTAGTCAGCAACTGCAAGTGCCAAGTGCAAGATGGGGTGTACTGTATTTGGGACACACAGCTCACTCCCTAGTCACTACTGAACTTCACTGGCAATTGGCAAAAGAGTCCAAGACTCATGGTACGGCCGCAAGTTACTTGCTTGTAATGCATGTTGTAGGTCCATCTACAATTGCAAACTACTGATCACTATTAAATGGTGTTCAAGGTTCAGCTCACATTTAATCCTTAAATGGGACGTAAAGAAGACAAGACTCTATTATTGCACTATTGAAACCTGCAGACCCTTCAGCTTGACCCAACCAAATTGAAGGTTGGAAGTTCATACTCCATTAACTCATTTCTTCAGAAACTAGCCGTTCAAATTTAGGACTGAATCATGTTTTTTTGCAGATGAGCACCTCTGAGGACTTGGACAATAGTGACAACTCCAGCGAAGGACCCCCCATTTTCAACTTGGCGTCTGTTGTTGTCCTACTTGCAAAGTACAAAGCAGTAGTGGCCAATGCGGCTCCAGTGGTGAACCCGGACCTCCCCTTCCAGAACATGACCAGGCGACAGTGGATGGAAGTCACTCTACAAAACAAACAAAAGTGCTTGGACAACTTGCATATGTCTCTCTGATAACTTCCTGCATTTACATGACATTTTACTTGGGTTTGGACTAAAGGGTACAAGACAAATAGGATCCCTAGAATGTTTAGGTATATATGTGTGGACTTGTGCTCACAACCAGGCATTTAGAAGGAGCATGGGTAGATTCGAACGGTCTATAGATAAGTTAGTAGGAAGGTGAGTCATGTCGCCGAGGTTATGTGTAGGTGGGCAGACTATATTCTTGTTCTAGCTGATAGCACTTATGTTGGAGTGAAATGGCAACTTGGAACATATGCACCATTCTTTGATGGATGCATCGGGGCTTTTGATGACACTCGCGTTAAAGTTAAGGTGAATAAGGAGGCCAAAATTGACCATATAAATAGGAAAGGAGATGTAAGTATTAATGTTTGTGCCATTGTCGACATGGATGGCCGCTTCACATATGTCGGTGTGGGGATGACGGGTTCGGTGCATGACATGTCTGTCCTGAAAGAATGTTGGGAGGAACCAAACTTCCTGCATCCATCACACGGTGAGTGACGACTGCCATGGTATTATTTGACCTATATTTTTTTACTTGCTTGGGCACAAAAGAAAAACTAATTGTGCAAATGGTTCATGTGTTGTAGGCCGCTACTATCTGGTGGACGCTGGATACGCACTGGAGTCTGGATACATGTGTCCTTTAAAAAATACAAGGTACCATCTGGATGATTTTAGGGGTGTACCAGTTGAGACTATGACTCGACAGGAGAAATTTAACTTGACTCATTCTAGGCTACGCAATGTCAATGAACGGACATTTGGGGCTCTAAAAGGTTAGTGGCACATTCTGGATGTGGTACCTTACTGCCATAGGGTCAAGCAAAAGATGATTATTATGTCATACTTTGCACTGCACAATTATTTGTTCATTCGGGAGCATGGATTTGGATCACCTACCTACCCACTGTCTGTGTGGGTGCAACTCAATGCGAGCAATACTATGACAGCAATGAGGGAGTTCATATCTTTGGGGCTCTAGGGATAATGATTGTGCAGAGGTGATGTAACTTAGGATGGAAAGTAGGTGAATTCAAGATAGATGGGCTGTGGTTTGAATTATACATGTATGATACTTGGTGGTGCATGCAGCTGCAGGACGAAGGCGAAGGTGTATGTGCAGCTGCAGGTTGCATGTGGACTTGTCAAGCCAAAGACTTGCCCGTGCAGTTTGCTTTGAGGCTTCATGAAGGCTACAAGTTTTGTAAATGTTGCATGTATGCGTAATTGTATAACCATGGACTGGTCCAATATGTAGGTATTGGTATGTTCTATGAAGTTGTTGTGTCGAATGTTGTAAAGGACTGTAATAAGTAATAACTTGTTTGTGAACTATTGGTTGGAAGTGGCAATGGCATGTCTACTGTACATGCGCTGCTGGGTCGGTTTGTGCATGAAGTTGTTACAAAATTTGTTAGTTAATTAAATGTGCATGAACTGTGATGAATGTTTATAAGGCCTTGTGATAGTCTGAATGTGTACAGCTGTTGTTGTGGCGTCAGTTTGCACTCCATTCATTGCATTTGGCGCCATTTTTTAAATTTGAGTTGCATTCAAATAGGAGTGGCTGTGAACGGCCTGAAGGTGCCTGCTGCTTCTGCTGGTTTCCAACTGCTTGGCTGGTGGGCTGCTGTAGCAGCATCAGCCTAGCCGGCTTAAAATCTAGACCAGCCGAACAGAGCCTTGGATGTGAGAGTGGGCCATGTCCCATCTGTCTGACGTGGCAGCATGCGGCCCACGTGAGTGACACCTGGACCTGGTTATGCTATGCTAGCTCTCTCGTGAGGTGACGGGCTCAATCCTTTCGGACGCGTGATCTTATCCTACTTCAAACCCAGCACGTCCCAGACAGAGTAAATGACGGAGTCGGCCCTATGGTTCCGTTCCCACTGCCATGATCTCGATCGAGTCCGCCTCGGCATCCTCCAGCCCGCGAAAACCCAATTGGGCCAAAAAGGCCAACGCACTTCGTCTCGGAACATGAGTCGTATCACGACGATGTGGCACACTCGGACTCCTCACTCCTGGCTCGTGCGACCGGACCCGACTCGAACTAGAACAAACTCAACAAAGGCCGTGCACGCATCTACCACAACCAGACAACCTTGTATATTCACGAGCACCTACGCCGCAGCTTTCCAACGCGCTTCCAACGCCAAACCAGGAATTAAGGCAGGCAGAAGCCAGCATCTTCTGATCTCGTTCTCGTCGACCGGCCTGCCGTCTCGCTAGGCTTCCGTCATCAGAGATCATCATCATCAGACAGAAAAAGGGCTAGTAGCTCGCTCGCTCGCTCCCGACCGACATGGCAAACAAAAACAAGAAGGCGGGCGCCAACCACTTCGCGCTCCTGGAGACCGACGACCCCGGCGACACGCGCCTCGAGCAGCCGCAGGCCGCACCTTCCAGCCTCACCCAAGAGCTCTTCGGCAGAGCCTACCCATCTGCTTGGGAGATCATGAGGAACAGGCAGGAGCAGCAGTACAGCGCATCGCCGGCGAACGCGAAAGCTCGGGCGGACAGCAAGAAGGGCGCGCAGGGGCAGGGCAGCAGCGCGAGGAAGCAGCAGGGAGGCCGCCACGCCAATGGAGCGGCAGTCAATGACGACGACGCCCCCGCGCCGAGGTTGTACGATCTCGCTGAGTTCCCGTCCCTGAAGTAGGGGACCTGGTTTTGGTGACTGTAGTACGTGAAGTTTCTAAAATTCAAAGCGGGCAAATCTTTGTTAGTAACATTGCTGTTTTAACTTTTAACGTGAGTTAATGTCAGTGGTTTGGTGAATGCAGTACAATAGTTGAATTATTTGGAGTTGGAATTGATGCCTTCAACTGAACATAATGAAAAAAATGGGCGTATCGTGTTTTTAAAATAGGGTAGTGTTGACAACCGATATTCGCGTCAACAGGTGTCTTATTTTTAAGACAATAAGATTACTTTAAATATAATAACTCTAGTTATACTTATACAGATGTATTTTTATTAGCGAATTAAGAAATATTCATATCTCTAAGCCCAATATATATAGACCCTAACCACAATTGTTGGGCCGTTATGGAAGTGCACATTCTGACAAGGAAAATGTACTGCTTGCATTGGTACATATTACTTCCTCCGACTCGACTCAACTCAAAACATATGATATTGAAATTCGAAGTTAAAGGATGACACATACACACAAACCACATGTCCACGTGCGTGCATATTCAGAATTTGACGAAAATTAGATCGCATTTCAGTGTCACATATAGATCACATAAAGAGTTGCAATATGACGTAAAAGTTTCCGATTTGAAGAAAAAAACTTAGACCCTGAACTATTTCATAATCATCTCAGCCACTTGTATAGTTTCTTTCTCTCTTGTACATTTGTACTGAGAACTCTGTCCTACTCTTTATTTTTTTTTCCACGTCCTTTCCCCTTTAGATCGGGTTGATCGATACGCGTGCGTATATTTCTGCACGACTGGATCAATTTTCCTAAGTGTTGAAAAATTGGGAGTTAAGACAGAGAGTTGTTGAAGAGCATGTTTTTTTAATCTTGCCAACAAATCAAAATTGGGAGTAGGTTTTGGAAACTCTTGGAAATGCTCTATGTTAGGGACCAGTAGCTTATCAGGTTCATTTGAATACATAGTGTGATACAAATTGTCTTTTTAGAGAGAGAAAACACTCAACCAATAGCACACATTCGATCTCGCTATTGCCGACGTTCTCCTAGTAACCATGCCTGAAATTTGCTCACATATAGAAGTTGAATCTAGAAATTAAGGTGCTAGTTGAGAGCTCTGGTAGCCAATAAGATCATAGGCTCACGCTTGTGTTAAGACCCTGGATCCTATGGTCTAAAGCTTCGTCAGCCAAAATTAAGGACCAAAACTTTAGACCACTTTAGCTTACTTGTTTGGTTCAAAAATTTTGTGAGGTTGGCTAAAGTTTAGACCACACTTTAGATCTCGGAGCCTCAAGAGTTAAAGTTTAGTAGCTAAACTTTAGACCATAGGATGAAATAGGACCTAAATTGTTATTTTTTACTGGTAAAAGAGTTGTAATTAATATTATCATGTTCCTAATATATATATGAAATAGGTTCATAAGTACGTTAGCGGAAAGAAAATCATGTTTCAGAGATAAGTCTACTTACTATATTCAAATACTCGATGAGTGCAAAAAATCCAACCAAAGTTTCAAATGTTAAATTGCTTATTAAGAAAGGAAAGTATATAAGATACGTGTCTCTGAAATACCTCTTCGAGTCGCCATGTATTGGGTATGTGTAGTGCGAGCGCGATAGCACTACGCCAAAGCCGAGGATTTTTACTCTAGCGTGATTTCCATTAACGGGACTGGTGCTACTACGAATCAGAGTCTAGTCCTCGTCCGCCTCTCGTTAGCGCAGCGTGGAAGCGCAGATTTCGGCAATTTTCGATCTCCCGAAGTCCGCACGAGTCTTAGAATCGGAACAAGAACAAAAAAAACCTTCCGCTCTCACGGCTCCTCGGCCTCTATATAGCCAAACAAGCATCAATCTCCCGAGTCCACGCGACATCCTATATTGATCGAAATCACCGGCCGCGGCCTCCGTGTATCCAGCCACGTCGTACGACCACCTCGACTTGATCGTTCGCACGACATGGCGGCCAGCTTCAACCCCTGGACGGTGCTCGACAGTAACGACCCCGGCGACGTCATTGGCAAAACCAAAACCAAAGACAAAGAGGACGCAGCAGCCGGCAAGAAGCCGGCGGCGGCAGGATCCTGGGCGCCGTCGTCCAAAGCCATGGAGGCATCGACGCCGGCCAAGAAGCAGTACAAAAAGAAGTTGCTGGCTGCCACGGCTCGCGACCAAGCTAAGAAGAAAGGCCCCGGCGCCGCAAAGCAGAACGGCGCGGGGAAGGGGACTAACAAGAACTATTGAGGCGACCGACGCCCTAGCGGAAGAGCTGGCTAAAGACTTTCCGATTTACGGCGATGATCGGAACTTACGTGATGGATATGTATTCGTTGCTTGCATAGGGTATTCGTGTTTTTGGTGTCTTATTAGGTTTGTGGTCGTTCGTCTAGATTAGGTTACTACTGCTTTTTTGGTACATTCACTACCGGACACGGCTGATTTGCTGAGTGCAAAAAATTTTGCCGAGTGCTTTCTGTCGGACACTCGGCAAAGGCAATCTTTGCCGAGAGCCGGACCCAGCGGCACTCGACAAAGATAGGCCGTCGGCAAATCTTTCTTTGCCGAGTGTCCGACACTCGGCAAACTTTAGCCGTCGGCAAAAATTTTCATTTGCCGAGTGCCGAGCGCTCGGCAAAGATTGGCCGTCGGCAAAAAAATATTTGCCGAGTGCCGGGCGCTCTGCAAAATTTGGCCATCGGCAAAGGTGGCCGGCGTGACGGCGGCCACCTGCCGTCAGCCTTTGCCGAGTGTCCCGCCGTTAGGCGCTTGGCAAAGGTTTTTTTATTTTTTTAAAAAAAAATCTTTGCCGAGTGCCTTGTGACCTGGCACTCGGCAAAGGCTTCTTTGCTGAGTGCCAAGGCTAGAGATGTCTGGCTTTTATGTATCCGACGTTACAACTTTCTCCAAACTTTCTCAGTTTTTTACCACGGCCTCCACATGCGATAACAAGATACCTCGACAAGTTTCGTGATTTTCGGACTTCGTTTGGATTTTATATAATTTAAATACACTTTTCCCGCAAGTACATCGTCATGTTACGACAACAAGATCCTCGTAATTTCATCTGAGTTCCTGGATACGGCCTCAACATAAGCCAAACATCATGAATACCATTTTTTGAATGACCAAATTCCATTATTTCATGTACATGCAGTTCAAATTTGAAATAGTTGGAAAAATTCAACGAAACAAAAATAATTAAGGAAATATAGTAAAAAAACTCAAAATTGTCCCAAATTTTGAAATTGAGTTTTAATTACTGTAGCAAGGCCCCAGGAAAAAATAGGGCGAAAAAAACAAAAAAAAAATTGCCGAGTGCCAAGGTTGGCACTTCTAAGAAGAAGAGTTTGTCGAAAGTGCAGTCACGGGGCACTCGGCAAAAAGAATTTTTTAAAAAAATAAAAACCTTTCCGAAAAGTCACTGGGGCCAAGACTTGGCAAATCTTTTAACCTAAAGGCCCAGAACAGGCTGGCCCAACCCCACCCCTCTCTCACTCCTCTCCCACCACGTTTCCTGTCGCGCCATGCCGCCGCCCCCACGCCTCCGCCACGCTCATGCCCCCCCCCCTTTCCCCCTTCCAACCGAGGTCTTCGCCGAGTCTGTCGAGCTGCCCAGTCTCCCGTCCCTCACCCCCCGCCCGCCTACCTGGTGGCCTCAGTGGCCACGCCCCGGTCCCCTGGCCGCTGCCCCGAGCTCATGGCTCTCCTGGGGGCAATGACCAGCCCGGCCCCGAGCCAGAGCTCCCCCGGCTCCAAGCTCGCTCCCACCCCCCCCGCTGCCTGGCCAGCCAGAGAGGAGAAGGAGAGGAGCAAGAGGAAGAAAGAGAAGGGGGAGGAGGAAGAAGAGGAAGAAAGAGAAGGGTGAGGAGGAAGAGGAAGAAAGAGAAGGGAGAGGAGGAAGAAGAGGAAGGTGCCGACCCGACCGCCCGTCGATCCTCATGCCGTTTCGACCGCCCGTTGTTCCTCATGTTCTGTGCTGATCATCCCTCCCCCGTAAATCGTCATTGCCCTCGCTCTTGCCGTTCTTGCCGCCAAGGTAAGCCCTACCCTTGTAGTGTTAGTAGTAGTAGTTAGTAGTGTTAGTAGTAGTTGTAGTGTTAGTAGTAGTAGTTAGTAGTGTTAGTTGTAGTAGTTAGTAGTGTTAGTTGTAGGGTTTATAGTAGTAGTAGTTAGTAAATAGTAGTAGTTAGTAAGTAGTAGTGGTTAGTAGTAGTAGTTAGTAGTGTTAGTTGTAGGGTTAGTAGTAGTAGTAGTTAGTAAATAGTAGTAGTTAGTAAGTAGTAGTGGTTAGTAGTAGTAGTTAGTAGTGTTAGTTGTAGGGTTAGTAGTAGTAGTAGTTAGTAAATAGTAGTAGTTAGTAAGTAGTAGTGGTTAGTAGTAGTTGTTGTTAATAGTTAAGTAGTTCTTAGTATTAGTACTGTTAGTAGTTAAGTAGTTGTTAGTAGTAGTGTTAGTAGTAGTTGTAGGGTTAGTAGTAATTGTTGTTGTACTACTTCAATACTTTCATCTGCATGGAAAGAGAACTAAAGTACATGGCTCCTCTTGACATATTGGTGGTTGTTGGCCTTCGTGCCCATGTTTGGTATATATGTGGTTGTTGGCCTTTGTGCCATGTTTTTTGCAGGTTTTGGGAACCTCCCCGTGCAGGGAGGTGCTGCCGAAATTTTGAGTCAACACTAACCATTTTTGCCCTTTTTTGCAGGAGGACCTGTGGGAGGGACTCAGCGACCCCGATTGTCTTCGTTGGCGCTGCGGGTCTTCCTGCACCACGTCGACTCGCCACTGCACCGACTCTCCACCGCCCCGCTACCCTGACCTCACCGGCACCCTAGGTATAACCCCTCTATCCGTATGTGGTCTTTGGTCGTGTAACCTAGTTAGGTGTCTCCTGTCCGAAAGAGATACGGTTGGAGGTATGCAGATCTTTGTATATCTGCGACCGTATCTATTTTGGATTGTCCACGTTTTTTGGACAGCCCGCGGATGCGTAG